GCAAAGTGCAGAGGGTTACTTCCATGGGCACACTACTGTGCTCAAGCCTGTTAAAAATTGGTGCACCTAACTCAGTGCCGGATCAGGCTGCGTGGCACCTGCAGACGCTTCGCTCGCGGCACTGCCTTAATATCTGCAATCGAGTTCACTGCCACCCAACAGAACCGAGCCAGCGTCCTTTTGCTACCGCAACCAATTTGCCTCTTACTTCGGCGCCTCCCTGCTCCTCTGTGGCAAACGGACAGAGAGCCTCGTAGAGCTGGGAGAAGGCATCCAAGCCATCCTCTGTGATCGCACTCTCTTGCCTGGAATCCAAAGGCTCCGTCTCGGTGAAATCGAGTTCCCAGGCTGTGTCTACCCAGGCTGAAAAGAAACAGAGAATAAATGCAGTCTAGGCTTTTCCATGGACATTATTGCACAGGGATCAATCCTAAGTGGGTCTACTCAGTCCCATTGATTATGCCAAGAAAGCGCCGTTAGGATTGCATGCAAAGAGGTTTTATTTTCTCTGCATTTTAATTTTTCCTACAAATAAGAGTGCTCAGGGGTTTTTTTTGGTGTTTCTTTTTTTAAGAGCGTAATTTGGAGTGAAATGGAAAATTCCTCTCGAAATCTAGCACTACACTCTCCAATCACGTAAAAGAGCACCAAGACGAGCCATCACCCTAAGCAGATATATACTGTCTTTTGTGTACGGGTACACTCTGGAAAGCACATCTACACCACTAGTGGTTTAATTCAGGCCTTGACAAAATTTTCTTCAGCTCTAAAAATTTAGGAGACTGACCCATATTTTGGCCTTCAGGGCTGGGCATGACCACATTTTCTATCTATTGCGGCAACAAGAAAGATGAGGTGCCACAAATGAAATTTCTGAGCGCCATGAAGACCTGGCGCCTGGGATTTCTCAAGCCGTGGTTTAACAATAATTTCCTCCCCACCCTGGAATCAAAGTGCTGCAAAAAACTGGGGTGGGGGTTAGAAATAACCAAGTCTGAAATCCCCTCACCAGACTAGAACGGGACTCTTCCAGTCCATCTACAACATTTTTTTTCCTCCCTACTTCAAGGAGCTGAGAATGGCATGCACGGTTCTCCCTTCCCCCTCCTTCACAACCACCTTGTGAGGTGGGGTAGTCTGAGAGCGACTGGCCCAAGGTCACCCAATTAGCTTTGTGGCAGAATAAAATTTTGAACCCAAGTCTCATAGTTCGACTGTAAGTCAGCATCTCTTAATCGTAACCCACTACCACCTCTTTGAGAACATGACATTCTTTCCCATTGACCGTAGTCCCACTGACTATAGGTTTCCCACTGACCATAGGTTTAAGGCAGCTTACAGAAAAGACCGGCCCACAGGCCACAAACAATGAGAATAAAAAGACAGACAGGACAGAAACAGCTACATGACAGTTCTCTGTTGCATTTCTTCCAGAAGGCAGACAGATGGTGGGCCTTCTGCACTTCCTTGGGGAGGGCATTCCTTAACTTGGGAGTTGCCACTGAAAAAGAGCAGGCCCATGTTGTGGCCCCATGGACAGCCCTGGAAGGATCTCAGGTGGTAAACTACACAGTTTGGTGTAGTGGTTAAGTGCGCAGACTCTAATCTGGGAGAACTGGGTTTGATTCCCCACTCCTCCACTTGCACCTGGCTGGATGACCTTGGGCAAGCCGTAGTTCTGATAAGAGCTGCTCTTGAAAAAAGAGCCGTTTCTGTGAAGAGCTCTACTTTGTGAGCTACTGGCATTAAAGTTGTGAGTGAGCAATTTGGCCACTGCATAAATTAGTTTGCTCTGGAGCCATCCTTCCTGAGCTAAGGAAAAAATGAGTGAGCCGGAGGCTAAAAAACTGTGAGCTAGCTCACACTAACTCATAGAGGGAACACTGACCTATCCTGTTTTTTCTCTCAAAGTTCATAATGCATCCCCCATTATTTGCAGATTTTCTCCTGCGGAGCGGGAATGCGCTCTTTGGTGAGAATCACTGCTCTGCTAGCTGTCCCTAGCATGGTCCTAGGATTTGTTTGGGGAAGCCATGACTCGTAAACTAGCATAAAACAGTTCACAGAATTTGTGAAAACAGAGAGAACCCCAGAGCAGGAATCCAACTAACGTGCCACTGGTTCAGGACAGTGTCTCACTTCTCACAAGACAACCAAGCATGACAAATTATTGGAAGTCTTTGACTCAGAAGTTCCAAAGGCATTTCACTTCTTTCCAAGCAAGGACTTTAAAAAGAACAGGGCCCTTCTTTATGAAGAAATTGAAACAGGCGTATAAACCAACCGTTGATCGCTCAAAAAAGCACATAAGCACCACGTCACGATCATTTAAAATGATGACAGAAAAGGAGATAAGTGCAAATTAGAATCTTTTCTTAAAACTAATTACAATACAGCAGTTTCTGTGGTTCAAGGGGAAACACAGAAGCGTATCTTTTATATATTATTGTCAGGAAAAGGGACCAGTGAACTGTGGGACTACGAGGACAGAAGCTGAAAGCCAATCTTAGCTCAGCTTTCCCCACATTTCTGGGGAATGGGAGGACTGTACAGAATACACTCAGCTTTCCAGGGCTGTGATCCTTTAACTCTTTTTAGATTTCCTGGTTGATTTCAGGGTGCATCCACCTCTTTCATGGATTGCTTCAAAGGGTATTTACAAAATGTGAACCCTCCCTCCCCCCATTCCACTGCACCCTTTTCCTTTGTTTTCAGTTTCACAGGGTGAATCAGACAACTGGAGTGAGCTGAAACGGCAGCAACAGCTCCTGGTTCTCATCAGAGGTTATTTCCACTCTTAGTGAGTGGAGTTCAGAGTTTTATGGAGAAGGACCCAAAGGAGAAGGGGAGAGTGTGTCTGAAACACTGGGGATTCTTCATCCCAGAGACATGCTATACAGAGAATTTCTCTTTTCTCAGATGGTGTATCCCAGAGCGGTCCGGGCGCCCACCATGAAAAAGGCAGGTGAAGGAATTATGAAAACTTCCATGCCTTGGGACCATCAAGGAAAGTAGGGCAACTTAAATTCTTGGGGGATGTTTTAAGGTTACGCAACCCATTCGATATTTACTCAAAAGGAAGGCCACCCTGAATGTATGACAACCCTCTGAAAGGTTATACAACCAAACAGTATTTTTACTGGGCATAACTTTAACTGGTATGTGCAAATGTAAAACAACACTATCTTTTTTTTATGGCCTACTGGAGGGGGGGAACCCGAGCCTTGCAGTGGAGTAAATACTGTGGTTTAGGGCAGGAGGCTGGCCTAACCTTCTGATAGTTAATGCTGCAGTTTCAGGGCAGTGGACACAGATTACCCATAGCCACCATAGGGCTCAAACGAGTGTTTTAAAACAGCTCCCAGTGCCAATGTTCCCTCTAAGCTCTGGAGTCTTGTGAGCAAAACTTCTACTTTGTGAGCTACTGGCATTAAAGTTGTGAGCGAGCGATTTGGCTACTGCATACATTAGTCTGCTCTGGAGCCCTCCTTCCTGAGCGAGGACAAAAATGTGTGAGCCAGAGGCTAAAAAACTGTGGGCTAGCTCACACTAACTCAGCTTAGAGGGAACACTGGCTCCCACCCCCAAGGAAAAAGACCCAAGGGAGAGCCCAAAAGAGCCTTGCCCTGTCTGCCGCTGAAATCCCCATCAGAAGAAGGAACCCATTCACCCCGCCCCTGTAAGGACCAGCCGCCCTGGCTCCTTCCTTTTACCTCATTGCAGCTGCCAACTCCGGGTTGGGAAATTCCTGGAGTTTTGAGAACGGAGGTTTGGGGAGGGACCTCACTGGGGTATAATGCCATAGAATTTGCTACCATTTTCTCCAAGGGAACAGATCTCTGCAGTCTGGACCCCAGTTGTACTTTCGGGCGATCTCCAGGCCCCACCTAGAGCTTGGCAACCTTATCTCCATAAAACAGGGTTGCCAGCTCCGGGTTGGAAATTGCCGGGAGATTTTGAGGGTGGAACCCGAGGGGGCGGGGTTTGGGGCCTAATGTCATCGAGTCCAACTTCCCCAAAGGCCGTTTTCTCCAGGTGAGCTGATCCGTGTCCCCTCGCGACCAGCTGCAATTCCGGGATATCTCCAGGTCCCACCTGGAGGTTGGCAACGCTGCCATAAAAAGGACCCAGGCGTCCTGGCCGACTCCCACCCCTGGCAAATCAAGACCAACAGGGGTCAGGGACCCCTCCGCAGCCACCGTAGCTCTCCCAGCCCGGACCCCTTCTCACGAGGAGAAGCGTCTGAAGCCGGACTCACCGGAGCTGACATCGCGGATCCCCCACCGCTCCACAGCGCGCAGCAGCCGCTCCGCCGCCATCGCCCAGCCAAGCCGCCGCCGTCGGCGTCTTCGAACCAACCAATCACGGCGCTCTCTCTCCGTCAGCCAATCCCTGACGCCTCCGGAGGCGGACTCCTCGCCGCACGCATGCGCTCCCGAGGGCCTCTCCCTGCCTCCGTGCGCGCCGCTCCGTCGAGCCCCAAAAGGGGCTGAGGCGCGTGCGCAGTCGGGAGTGCTCCGGCCCCCCCCCCCTCCCCCCGCGGGCCCGGGTGCGGCGCGTGCGCAGTCGCGAGGCTTGTGGTCCGGGTTCGCGGCGCGAGCTCCGCAGCCAGCTAAGCCGAGGCGGAGGGGGAGAGAAGGGAGCGCGAGCGCGCCGGGCATCGCTGCGGAGGCGGCTTGTCATCCCTCGCCGAGGCGCCAGCGCGGCCGTGCGTGGCCAGCCGCGATTGCACGGAGCCCCCGGAGCCTCGGGCCTTCCTGCAGCAGCCTTTGCCGGAGGAGCAACGCCCCCGTCGCGGCTCCTCCACCACCTCCTCCTCCTCCTCCATCGATTTTTTTTTTTACAGCCTCGGAGGTGGGCCCCTGGATTGGCCCCTCACCGTACGCCCCCCTGCCCGACCCGCGCTCCTCCCTTTTTCTGCATGCCTCTCCATCATCCCCTCTCCAAATCTCGATTACCGGGAGCAACAGAATTCTCTGCATCCCGGTCTCCCCCATTTCCCCTTGGCTTGCAACGTTGCGCCCTCATTCCTAGCTCGCAGGGCCCTCCTCCCCGCCCCCCCGCCTTTGCACGCCCACCTGCCCCATATTGGAGGTTGGAGGAGAAAGCCGCCGCCTCGGCCCAGTCTCCACCGCTGACTCCAGGGGTCTGGAATTGCCACATCTGGAGAGGTG